AGCCAGTTAGGTCGGTCGCCACGCCAAACCTTCGACGCCAAAGCGCACACTCCCCCACACACCCACATAGACCAACTATGTACATACCCAAACCCAAAGTAAGCCCGCATTTTGTTTGTCGCTGTCGTGCTCGTGTGGCATGTGCACCATTTATTTGTGTTAATTCGATCACAAGCTATCATGCTTGCGCTCGGCTGCTTGCAAACTTGAATCCGTCTGTAGCGTTATGCTAGCCGCACACTATACGATTTTGCACTGTGCACAGCACTAAGCCATCGCACACTATACGACCCACTCCCGATCAATCGGGAGGCCACCGCACACTGTCCGACTCAAATTTGACGCAGCCATGGCACTCGTGGTGTTCCAAGCGGATTTAGCGTGTACTAAGGGTCGGGAGTGTTTTCCCGTCATTTTTACCGAATGCGGTTCCCATGGCACTGCTTTGTGATTGGTCAATTTTCTTCAGCGCTCGGCGGCGGGTCGGATGGCCACGCACACTATCCGAGTCGCGTCGTAAGCCCTCGCACACTATACGCTCCCGATTCAAAATTCGAATCGGCCCAAAATGACCTCCATGTATATATATCTATCTATATATCTATATATATATATATATATATATATATATTATATATACCATATTCATGGCGATCTTTTGTGTGCTTGCCTGCTGCTCAATACAATAAATCGATACTTTTTAGACTTTTTAGCAAAAAAAGTTATCCGTAAATTGGTAGTTTTGGTACTGATTCGTAGTAGCTGCATTAAACATTTTAAATGCATACAAAATTCCCAAGAATAATTTGTGCTTCGTACCAAAACCTTGAGCAATGTTCTTCAGGAGTAGCAGGCAGCACAGGGCATGCTTTAAACACAAGTGACAGCATCTATCCACACCGATGCCTCCATGTTACATTTTGATCACCTGCTTTGTTGAATCGGGGACCGGCTAGTAACTCGCATATACTGCCCTCCCTACTCGACCCCATAACGCGTGAAGTTGACAATCTACAATTTACAGCTGCGTGTGC